ACGCATAGATAGACTGATATCGTCCAGGACCTTTTTCACAGCATCCAAGAGGAGCATCCACTATGATAACATGCCAATGTGTTTGTGTAACCGACTCTGGTAACTGGTCGAATAGATCCAATTCGTGCCACGCGTCCGAGTGGTTTACATATTTTGAGAAGGATTTAATTGTATCTGTTGTATAGCGCACTCGATAAGCTTTTAAAAAGGGATATTTCTTCATAATTTCGTCATACCATTGTATTCCCGATTTCGTTGAAGGAGAATCGTCTTCTATAAAATATACCTTTCCATTTGTGCTGTTGTGCCAATAGGGACTGTCATATCCAAGTCCCCAAACTAATAAATTTCCATTCGTAGGAAGAACGCTTTTAATGTTTTTGATTTGATTTATACTCATTTGTATGCCATACTTTCGACGTCTATGATGTCTCAGAATATGTACATGTGATTCTGATATGATATCACGGATATTGTCTCCAGATGAAAAATAAGTATTGTTTATATTATTTTTCCCAATAGTTTTTGAAAAAACACCATTATTATCGTTGTGTCGTAATCGCGAATAGTTAAAAACATAAAGTTTTGAAATAATAACGAAAGAACTTGCAAAACACAAAGAATAGCACACTTTCTTGTTTTTTATCAGTTTCATTTTGATACAATAATTGTTTTTGTCTTAAAGAAGCTTTCTGTCCATCTTTATTACCGCAATGTTATAACAAATAAATATTTAATATAAGACACAAGTTATTTGTCCAGACCTACATCAGACGATACACAAAGCTCGGAAAAAATATTTCCATTCCACTCATGTCAAAATAAACTCAGTGGAGTGATATAAATCATAAATGTACTGAATTCATCTTTTCCTACATATTTTAAAACGATGCTTATACGAATGTTATGGTTCAAGTGAGGATAGCCTGCTAGCTTTTGACGACGGTCTGTCTTACAAGTTCAGCAAATAGTTTAATTGCCTGTTAAGTGATAACTCAAACCTGTCGTAAAGTTGTACGTGATTCCTGTCCAATAGATACATTATTGAAATTATGATTTACATTTAACGTTCATTCTTTATTCAGCATATGCCCCATTGGCCATTTTCAACGGATTTTGATCAATGTTCAAAGTGTAAAAAATTTACCCCTTCCCGTTATTGAATGACCCCCATCCACACACACCTTAAATGACCCCCGTTGTAAAGTGATCAACTATGAACACGATTTTCTTGATTTTCATTGATAGGTGATCAAATTAAAATTTCCAAACATGCCAATATTTGGTCATACACATGAAACAGTAGTATTTCTGCATTCCTTTCAGATTTTTAGGTGACGAATATATATTTATTTCATTCAAGTGGAAAAGGAGCTAATAATTAATAACAATTAGGCAACTGATAACAGACAGCTACATGGTACTTATACAATGAACTACTGTCCTAGGATGATAATTTGGTCTTAACGGTACATGGGAAAGTCCAAAAAACGGGATAATCTGGATTACTAACTATCCGATATCGTAAAAAGTAAAACACTTACAAATACTATATAGCATTATTCTTACAGTATCGTTTGTGTATTACGTTATGCTCTGTCGGTATCGAAAACTGTCGGTAGATCGAAATTATTTGTAACTTTTAGAATTTTGTTCTCATAGGTTCGAACCACAATTTAAGTAGTGCCATTTTATAACCACAGTTGTTTCTTCTTGCTCTGTTTTTTATCATTATAATTATTCATTTTATTTTCGTTTTCTTCTTTATGATATATATTTAATAGTATATATTTATTTCTATTTCTATTCATTTTTCTTTTTTGTATTTTTTTTTGATCACAGTGAAATAAAATATTCGATCTCATATTCATGTATGTATAAAACCGATCAAACTTGTTTTCTGAACTATTGACTGTTCTGAGGTAAAAAAAATCGTGTCGTACCAGTGGTCCGACCTTCTGTCCCTGTGCCGGATAAAACACATTACTGACACGGTTGCTCTACCTACTTTGCGCTAACAAGACATACGATAACATGTAGTTTTATTTTCATTTTTATAGATTGTGGCATTGATCTGCCTAACCTTTTTTTCGCATTGTTATTGGTCTTTGTTATGTAAACAAAGGCTCAAGTTACCATCCTAGGACAGTATAATGTAACATTGCAAACAGAATCATGTATATGTTTTTTCGCTATCAAAGGGAGTCAACTGCTTTTATTTAAAAATGACTGCCTTCTACTGTTATAAATATAACTTAGATTTCATCGCGATTATGCTCTATGAAGAGTTGAGGCGATTACTGAAGATGATGATGATTTACAACAACCGTGCTATATTTCAATATCTCATAAATATGCATTACAGAAAATTGTGTACTTAGTTCATCAGGGGAAGTAACCGCTGTGAAAGTGTACAAGCAACGGTTACTTCCCAATGATTAGTAGAGGAGGTTTGGTATGAGAAAAAAAACCCTTGATTTTATACATGTATTTAGGGTTAAATAGAAATGTATAGTAGGATTAGGAAACTTATGATAAACTTTTATTGCCTAAAGCATACCTTTGTTCTATATTGCTGCAAGGTATAATATAGGTATAGGTTTGTAATTGGAACGTTACTAATTTATTACGATTTATTTATACACACCATATGGAGCATATAGTAGTTCTAAACACAATGTCAAGAGAATATTTATTAGAACTATGGCTAGCTACAGATATTCTAATGAATTTCAACAGTTGATTAAACTTGTTCGTAAAATGACCATTAACAATTATTATTGTCAAAAAACTTCTGTGGAAGTCCCGAGTGGCATATGGAACTCCGACCACATAGGCACATCATTCTGTTGGAAACCATTGTCTTAAACTTTCGTTAATCAATTTTCTCTCTAACATACACATTATTTAGCCTTTCTTGTCGAAGTAGTGCGCATGGGCCCAGGCGTGGCCATGTCATGCTTGTTAAATCATTTTTATAACGTTGTGACAGACTCTGTTTCTTCAAAATTTAAGGATCAGTGACTAGTGGCAATTTATAACGACTGTCGTAAGATTGTCGCACTTCCGAACGACCATCGTGCGACAGCCTTAGACCTTATAAGATCACTAGCGACCTGTTTGATCGCAGGGAGGTTGTTGTGCAAGCTCAAAAACCTATCTACGACTGAAATTGGTCGTGGGACCTATATAAGATAACCTGTGACTGTCAAAGATCATCGATGACCGTCGTAAGACGTTTTAAAGATTGTCTGCGACCAGAGGTCACTGGTGATCGTGAACTGGTCATCACTGGTCGTAAGCTCTAATGTGACTGGGGCTTAAGAGAGTACATTTAGTACGACTATCACTGATAAAACAATGTACAATTGCATCTGGTGTTGGGAGTTTATAGAATATATAACATAATCAGTAGAGCGGTTTGCTACTAAGATGAGAACATAAATATGTGAAAATATCAATGCGACTATAAAACAATGTTCAAATGAAAAATACGAGTATTGATATGATGAACAAGCATTAACAATAAAGGAATTGATGTAATATTAAATTTAACAAATGAGCCACGTCACGACAAAACCAACATAGTGGGTTTGCGACCAGCATGGATCCTGACCAGCCTGCGCATCCGCGCAGTCTGATCAGGATCCATGCTTTTCGTTTACCAACTCTATTAAAAGTGGAGAAACTGACAGCGGCGAACAGCATGGATGCTGATCAGCCTGCGCGGATGGTTAATTAAAAACTGAAAGCAAATGTGAGAGCTTACTAAATATTGAGTTACCATTGAATACAATATGGATCCAAGTTTATGATTCTTTTCTTTACGCAAATCAGTACAATATCAGTGGAAATTCTTACACAATGTTATTTATACAGATCAAAAGCTGTCTCTTATCAATTTATCTGACAGAGAAACTTTGTTACACGTTTTCTGGAATGTGATTTTGCAAGTAATGTTTGGACACGTGGTAATCAAAAACCTAAGTCCGCTAAAATCTTAGACGCTGATTATTCTCATTTTTGATCTACTGCACTTTTTTTGGTCTTTTGAACAAGCAACTAAAAATAAATTGATAAATACTGTCATATCTGAAACCAAATGGGGAATTTGGAAATATCGTAACAATTATATACATCAACCAATACCTAGATTGTTAAGAAAATTGTTTAATGATAAAAAAAATACCAATTTGAAAACCAATGTAAAAATAAAAGCGATACTGTGACAGAATTTTTTAAAATATTTGTAATTTGTATGAATGTCATCTTTAATGTAAGGGATGCAACTCAATAAAAGCTCTAGCATTAATTTATAAAGAGTTAATTCGCTTTTTAACCTTGACTTCTCTGTTCGTTAACGGACAAGCAAATGATACTTTTGCGAAAATCTTATGTTTATCACATTATCTTTACTGTTTGTAATTATTCCTTTTAATTCATACTATGCAATCAAGTTAAATTTTGCTTGGAAATATAACATTAATATACTGCATTTCATTTGTAAAAATGTCTATTTTGTTGAGCATAATTGCTTAAATAAACTATGTATTAATGTAGTTTAAGCTTATGAACTCTTTGAAAAAAGAAAGACAATTAATTCTATTTTATTAATTTTATTTTATTAATATTTTTTTGTCACAAACAAATATTCATGTATACATGTATCATTGTAAGGCTGATAGGAGGATGCTCTTCGACCCCTATCATGCCAATGGCGGGGAAAATAAATGGGGTTACCTCTTACAGGGCACACGGAAAAAACAACAACAATAAATGTATACAATATACTGTGTACAATAGATAATTAGTAATATTTAAATCAGAATTGTGATAGACGATATTTTGAAACAATAATACGTACTATATTTACATAAATAAAAACAAATTACAATTTTCAATGCTGAAATAGGTTTTTATATTAGAAATTTATAATAAATGAACATAAACAAAATACAATAGTTAGTTAGTAAAACTGAGATAGCATATTGACACTGTCCAATATATTTAACCCGCTGACATTCGAAAACTGCTGTTTGACAGAAAAAAGATTTACAAGGTCAGATTATTGTAACATTGTCTGCGATTGGCGAAAACGCGTAAGATTCACTGGGACATCAGGTGATAAGATGAAAATGTCATGTTTACAAGTACAAAAATTATTTAGAAACAAACACTGAATTGTTTTCTTAAGAAAATGAACTGTTTCATAAGTGTCTAGGATAATTTCTCATTTGGATAATAGCATTTTAAAAAATATTTGTCAGCAGGAAAATTTTCAGTGAAAAGGGGACATTTTGCGAAAGATTAGGTCGGTCAACAAGATAATTTAAATGCGTCTGACATCTTCTAGAAAAATTCACATCTTTAGCATGAATACTCAATTTTAAGGTTGGTTTAGTGGTCATTTATTATAATGTTAGTCTATTGGTAAATTAATACCGAAGACTGGCCATAAGACTAAAAGTAAAGAGAGCAATATAAGACGCAGCCAAAAGACATTATATATGTTCAACAGTAACAATAAGATAAAACAGGTCTATTAGATTATTTAGGTAGTTGATAAAAGTGATATTTGTAAAGTCATAGGAGTATACGTATTTGATTGTTTCCTTAAATTACTTATGGCAACAATATAACGTTACAGTAAATTGAAGAGCTTAACAAAAATGGTATAAATAAAACCATTGTCATGGTGGTATATGGTTCACTCATTTAAGAATTATTTACACGTAACTCAAGAATTTTGTATGCATATTCCTATCTACGAGATAGTTTCCAACACGAATGTACGCACGCACCCACCTTACGGACACTTGCGTACGCACGCGCGCGTGAACACACACACCTCGAAGGATTGCTGCACAACTTTAACGAGAAACGTCGGTTTAACGTCATACCAACACAGTAGAGGTTATAGGCGACTTTCCAGCTTTACCTGTAATTAATTCAGGCACGAGTGGATACATATTAAGTAGAACGCAACGAAGATTAATTTAGGATAATTTTCTTGGATGAATTAAAGAATCTAAAGTATCTGTTGGGAATCGAATCCACAGCAGTGATGGGTAAATTGTTTGAAGTCAGCTACCTTAACCACTCAGACAGGAAAGCTTTATTGATACATCATCCAGTATTAAGGATTATAAAACGATAGTGCTCCCGATACTTTCAAGAAACCATGAAGAATACATGTTTGTTTTATACAACATAGGTATAATATATCGATATTAACAATTCCGTTTTGTATAACTTGATGTACCCTCCTGCGCATCGGCCGAATGTTTCACGTCTCAGCGAGCTGAGAATGGAGCGTAAACTTTGATAATATCGATGTTAAATATTCATTAAATCCATTGCCTGCTGACTGCAATTGCATCTACTTATAAGACCAGTGCAAACCACATCTATGACGATTACAAATATTTATACATAAAGTTAATACATTAATATCAAATAGGTTCGTACATACCAAACGATAGATATCGAAAAATCAATCAACCATATACTTTAAATACATCTTTACGTATATATATGCGGTAAGTTTGAAAGTTAATGTTGCATTATGAAATGCATCTTTAAGTTTATACACTAAACATACGTATTGATTACATAACAACGTTATGCTCTAAATGATATAAAAGTAAAATGATTTATGCTTGTATAAACATTATCAATATTTCTGTTCATATACCCGTATATACTTTCCTAAAGCCTAGACTTTCAAGCCATAGTTTTTTCTTGATTCATGCACACCTGTGTTATCAATTAATTGTTTTCCATCGACAGTCCATTTGTCAAATGGCTGTTCAAATAAAATCTCAAATCCTGCCTTTTCAAATATTTTCTGTGCATAAATTGACGCAGACTCGGTTTTAACATATATTGGCTTGATTTCAAGGTTTCGGATCATACACAATGCAGAATTAACAATTTTAGATGCCATTCCTTGCTTTTGATATTTTTGTGAAACCGTAAGCCCAACAAAATGAAGTGCTTGTGTCGTTCCATAATATCCGAAGAAATCCGCTTTACTTGAACAATACGAAGTGATTAAGTGTTTCTGTTGTGTAGGTTTTGCTGGTATGCCAGTTAAAGCTGATCTGTCGTCTTTACATTGGACCTTTATCCTAATGATTGCAACAACGTCTTCAGTTTCTTTGGCAATAATCATTAGCGATAAATTCTGTTTCATTGTTGTTATCCAATAACCTTCATATTCGGACGTATACTGTACGTTTAAAGATCGGTTTATTGGTTCTTTTGTAAGGAAGTTATCTCTTGTAAACTCAATGGCTTTTCTGTAAAACTCTTTCGTCACCAAAACTAAAATCTTCCCGGGAGCATCAAATGTTTCTTGAGCAATATCAAATGCCTAGGTATATGTAAATACAAACAATATAAATATCCGACGTATACATAATTCAATGGTTTAACATGTTAAAGTAAAATTATAATAATAATGATTTATTGTAAAATAATAAAAATATTTTGTTAAAAAAATCCTGAATAGCAAATTCTTAAATTTCACCTTGTAAATCTGATCTAATTGCAAACTATTCAAATCCTGATCCTGCATTATTATTGCAACGTTTCAGTGAAACGGTGGTGAGTTTAACTTTAAAGCTAGTCTTATTATTGTATATAGCCCATATAGAACATTAGAATAGTTTGTTTCAAGTATCTGTGAGTTTAAATTGAATTTGATCTTCACTGCACATCTGTTGTATATATGATTTCACATGAGACTTGCCTTTTTCGTATTCAAATGTAGAAACGTTAATTATGACCTGAATATATGATGTAAAACGTACACTTGATTCATTTAAACATATGAAATTTCACCATAGAGTTGTGCATTTATATGAAACTATATGATTAATACATGTTTTGACCCCATTAAGATGATTAAAGTAATAATAATACTTATTCTAATATCTTATGAGAAACTGTAGCAAAAATATAAGCAGCATAATTTAAGATTGCTCGAAACTTGATTACAATTTGTTACATCACAATTTTGAATTGTTTAAAAACGCAATTTATCTTTATGCGAACTGGTATAAATTAAGATAGCACTAAAATAACCGTTTTTTTATATAAATCTTGTGTACATATGGTTGTGTACTGTTAATGACTGTCAATTTCGGAAAATCGGGTAAACAGATGTACACTAAAAATAGGTTGCACTCTTGATTTATTAAATATATATACATGTTTTATTAAATATATTTAAGGTCAGTTATAACGAAAATTGTCACTGAATGACAAAGATATGGACTGGATATGATTATTTTTGCACTATCCTAGAAAAGTACATGTTAATGTTATTGTTATCGAAAAGTAAATGTTAATGTATTTTTATATCGAAAAGTACATGTTAATGTTTTTTATATCGATAAGTCCATGTTATTGTTTTTTGTAATGAAAAGTACCCGTTAATGTATTTTGTATCGAAATGAACATGCTAATGTATTTTATTTCGATAAGTCCATGTAAATGTATTTTGTATCGACAAGTTCATGTTAATATTTTGTTTCGAAATGTACATGCTAATGTATTTTGAATTTTAAAATAGATGTCATCCTTTTTTATTGAAATGTACATATTTTTTTGAGAAACATAGAGAATATATTATATTAATATTTGTTTGTTTGAATATATTTAAAATGAAAAAAAAAACTTTTTAGAAACGCGTTTATAGTCATAAAAAAGTATGTATCATGCTTTTTATTAAAAATAATTGCACAATATATTGCATATTTACAAGTTTGTAACTTGATTCAGACAAATGACTGCAGCAGAAGTTTAATATTCGTTTTTTTTTAATTTCTACTATTGATTAGAATTTCACTCAATTACTTATGCAAAACAAAATAATAGTTATAATCATTTCAGTATTTCCTTCAGAAATATAGTAGAATTAGACATATAGTTGTTCCTAATGCCTTGTCTTACTATAAATGCTTCTCGTATAAAAATGCATAGTTTATTTACTTCGGTCTATAGATTTAACACTTGGTCTGTTATATTTGTTAATACAAATACAACGTTTTCGTATTTAATTGTATGCTGAACAGCTACAAAAAATAGATATTCATCTTCTTGGTCTTCGCTGTTACAAATAGTACAATGTCTTTGGTTTCGTGAAATTCTATAAATACCATAGCGATCAGTTTAACTTTGCAATTGATGAGAAGATAGTTTGATCTTCGTCAATTGAATTCGTAGTTTAAGAGAAATGTTATCTAAAAAGTATTCAAATTTCAAACAGTTTTTTAAATAATTTATAAGCTAGCAGACAATGTTGTAGTCCATGACTGAACAAACTGCTCAGTAAGTCTTTGTTTAAATAACAAAGAAAAAGGTTTTTATGTATAACTAACAACATAGCTATAAAAATCCAGTACTTTCTAACAGAAACTATAGTTAAGATAGAAAATTTACCTTGCCTCTAAAAATCATTTTACATTATTTCATACAACTTTGATATGTTCACAGTTTACATCTTCAGCCAGAAGTTTACAATTCTTACATATCTGTTAATGAACAACGGGTATCTGCATAACCCGCCATAAATAGCCATATTACTTGTAGTTTTTTTAAAAGAGATCAATTTGTGTTAGAACAGTGAATTTGTTCTTTTCAACATTATAATTATAGATGACGTATTTACTAAGTTTTCTGTTTTTGTAGAAGGTATATGAATGACGCTGTTTATCATTTGTGTATTCATTTGTGTATTGATTTTGTGTTTTGTGTATAATGTATGCGTTTTTCTGTATATTTCGGTATATTTCTGTAAATATGATAATAATTATTATGTATGCTACAAAACGTTTCATATTGTATTTAAATGTCGATGAGCTGTTAATCTGCTTAAGACTAATAAATATATGTTATGTTTTTTTTTATAAACATAGAGTATAGGATAATTGATCACGGGACCATGAAATGCATTGAATAAGTGACAAAGGGTTCTTGGTTGTAATGATATGCCTTTGGATTTGGCAAGCAGCATATTTATTTTATCATGCTTTAAAGTCCCGCATTTTCTTAAACAACAATTTTACTTATCCGGATTAACTTCTAATCCCCAAGTACTGCAACACGTGTATAATAACTGAGAATCTTTTGTAAATCAGAAGTTTTTTCCCAGTGATTACAATATCATCTACAAATAATTATATAGATATGTATCAAATTAATTTCTTCAAAATTAATACATGTACTAGAGTTAACATCATCTAGGAGAAATAACTTTACATCTTGTAAAAATAATAAAAAGACATTACTTCCCCTTGTTTTAATCCTATTGAACGCTTGAAATAATCTGAATATATATTTTACAACCTCTGACATAAATATGTAACGTTTTACCTATGACTTAAAAATAATAAAGCTAAACCACCGATCATTACGATACACACTGTCAAATGCTTTTAAGGTCTATAAATGCACATGTTTATATTTAATTTTATTTTGAATTTTTACTAATAATAGTATTTAGTACAACTAATAAAACAAAAGTTGAAGGGTTTTTGCGGAAACCGAACTAGGCATCCCTTACAACGTTATTATGTTCAACACAAACAGATATCCTTTCATTTAACACACCTATAAATATTTTTGAAAAAAACTCATTAGAGTAATATCTCTATAATACTAATGTCACATGGGTCATTTCTCTTAAACAAAAGAGCAATATCTCCATTCATCCACTTACATGTATACCGTTAACAATGTCAACTAAATTTGACATCAATATAACCGAAGATTCAATGAAATATTCATTTAAAAGCTGATCGCACGCAAAAGATTTACATTTCTTCAAATGGCGCTTAAAGTATCCAATGTCTACAGAAGTTATTGGTGAATTTAATTTTTCAAAAATTCATTCCTCATTTAGAAATTATGACTGCTTCAGAATTGTTCGACATTATATTATAAACATTAGGCAAAATCACTTAATTTAGAAAAGAATTAAAACAATTCTTGTATACTTATGCCACTATTTTCATGTGAATTCTTTTTCTTAGACAAATATTTCGAAAATATCTGAGTTTACAATAGCGCAGGCGTTCTACATCTTTTATTTGACCCTTTTTATAACTTCATTTCTTTCTTTAATAATATATTTATACACAAAACATATAAATACACATCGATACACTATTTTCATCATTTACATAAATTGTATATATTTACAACTTTAACATATTCACGCTTCGCAATAGAACATTCATCATCGAACAATTCCGTTTTTGTTTAAAGTTGCATTTTTAAAACAAGGCGTATCATATACATATTGATTGTGTAACAATAGATTTGTAACATCATTTATAACAGTTGTAAATTGTTCGATACAAGTATTCATTTAAGATTTATTTCTGTAGTAAGCATGACCAGTTAAGCTTATAAGTTACGGTAATAGAAATAAAACTACGTCCAAAATCATCACGGAGGTCACTATTCCATTTAACACCGATTTGCTCGTATTGACTATCATTTTCATTACAAATAAAATTACATGTTAGATTAAAACTAATGCGAGCGTAATATGACCATTCGTTAAGTTCTTCAATAGACAATATTAAATCGTGCTAAAGTTTTGCTCGTGTAGCAGTAAATTGTCAATAACGCTCGAACCATTTTTATTATTTGATTTTAACCTGTCAAATACTTACAGTTTTCTCCAAAGGGTTCACAGCAGGAGTGTGATCTTTTTGCTTTGTTGATTTACTTTGCTTCTCACCTTTTAACATTAATAAATCGTAAGCATAGACCATATACTCAGTATGTAATAGTTACCGTACGAGGAATAGGTCTGCATAGTATTAACAAACCCGGTGGCGATTTGAAGACCGAGAGAGAGTAGCGATCGTGGTTTTTAAAAGGCCACCGGGTCTGTAAATACTATGCAGACCTATTCCGAGTGCGGTAACTATCTTACCTACATGCTCTTTTGTTTTTTCTATCCATACATCATTTTTAAACTCAGTATTTATTAATGTTACTCACAAGAAACAAATTATTTATGTACTTCATCGTGTTTAAGAAAGCTTTCCAAAGTCATTCGAAGATACCAACCGCTACGCTCTTGTAATTCATTCGTTCACAAATCAGGTGTTATTTGAATATTCTCGTGTTTTTCGTGGCGGTTCATTATGTAATAAGGTCAAGTAAATGTACTTGTTGAGTTGAGTAATAGAAAATGAAAACATAACTTGTCGAGATTCTATTTCAAGTAGGCAAAGGTAAGATCATTATTTTGATATACGAGTACAAAACATAATAATAACATATACACATATTGAGGAAGAAAAAAACCGTTTACTAATCAAAAGAACGGAACACTTTTTTTTACCGGTATACAATGTACATGTATATAATTAATTCCATGGTAAATAGATGAACAGGCTATTTCTAATAGAATAAGAATATACGATTCTTTCAAAGGAAAGTAGAAGACAGAGTTCTATGAATAAACATTAGTAATACACGTAGATATACCGTCATGTATGTTGGATTTTTTGTTGTTTTTTATGATGTTTGGAAGAATTTTCTTTCGGTGTATTTTTAATAACCATAATCCCTTACTAATATGTTTGATAAGACCGCAGTCTGGAATGGAAGCCCAAGTCGTATTCTTGCAAAGAGCAGGCGAGTACTGCATGTACTGGTATACAAAATTAAAATTGTAATATAAAAAAAACTTGGGGATATGAGAAAAAACGGTCTTATACTTAAGATGAACTATTCTCTCACTGAGAAAGAAAGATACAGAAGTTGACTTTGATTCGATATGCACCAATAATAAAATCGTCGTATATATCCCATGATGCAGAATTGTTAAAATAATGCAGGATTGTGCAAAATAAGACATAGTTGTGAAAGAAAATGTCGAGAGCTAGTATCTTATGAAGCTATATAGTTCGGCAAATGTGTTAGGTATACCTAAAAGCAAACAATAAAGAAAGGCTAAATGTGCGTTTTTGTACTCATGAATATCGTGAAACACAAACTTCAGCGCCAGAGCAGTAGCCAGTTCGTTTGTCTCACAAATAATCTGGAATATATGTTTTGAGAGTCCTTACAGCCGTATACGCTAATTTATTTCTATTAATTTGGTGAAATATATATAGACTCTTTTTCCTATTTGAAAGGGGTCATTACCTCCTCTCCCCCTATAAATTTGCACAGTTCAGCGTTATTTTTCAAAATTTCTCTCTTACGGGATATCTGTTAACGGTGAATTTAGTGTAATGCACGAGTTTATCGACTTCACATATTTTCTATTGTATAGAGAACAATAGAACAATAACAGGTCGGTATATATTTGCAGACCTGTTAAGCGGTCGGTAAGTGATTTACTAGACCGCTTTTAACAAAAGAGCCGGTAGGTAAGTAACAATACGATTCCAGTTATAATCAAACATCGTGAAAGTGGTAACAATGGTATATCTAACGTTAAACAGAATCTAGATAATTTGGAGGTCAAATTCCAAAATGAGCTAAAATGTCGAAGAGTTTCTTTGTCTGGGAGTTAAAATCATAAATGACCCGGCTATATTGACTAAGTATATTACAAGTGGAGGACCTAAGGTAACGATGATGCCTATTATTCCCTCTAAAAGTTCACCAAAAAAAAATGCAGTAATAAAGGTGAATATCGAGTCTAATGATGGCATATCACAAATTGAAGAAAATGATTCTGGTCGCGAGGCATCATTTGTAATAGTTGAGCTCACAGACTTAAGACTGATCATAGTGACACAGTGAAGCATAGTTTTAGTAGTGATAAAGGCTTCTACCATGACGAACCTTAAGAATGTACACACTTTAGGCAAGGTTTCAGATATCAATATAATCGCCTAGACAATACTGGTACATGTAAGTAAATGAACTTATTTTCTTATCTAATGTGTGCATTATTAACAATAAATGTCTTAACATGGAATGTAACAGTTATTATGTCAAGTTGTACATACCTCCTCAAAGTCCTCCATAAACATAAAATTTACATTTGTGGTCTGTCTGAGTATGGGTTAAAAAATATAATTTAGATTTTTTGAACACTTTTGATAATATGTATATGTGTTATGCTGTGTCTGATAAGAACCTTATGTTACCAAGTAATCGAACAGTTGGTAAAAGTGGTGTTGAAATAGTTTATTTATCATTCTTAGTATAAACATTGTATTACTCAATTCAATATTGATGATGATGACAGAATCATCGGCATTCAATTCCAAATCAATAAATCAAATAAGATGTTTTACTTTCATTGTAGTAATCATTCTAATATCAAATAAAGAGAGTATATAGACAAGATGTGTGAGTTCTCCGAATATCTTTAAGGCGATTTTAACTTGTCCGTAAAGCTAGATTGTTCTGGAAGTGGTTGAAGTGCTTACCTTACTGAGTTTGTTTATCGTTGCAATCTTTTACAAGCAAACACGCTTCCGTTATGTTAAATATTTAATCAAACATTTGTATCATATGGAAATCGCTTTTCATCATCAATTCATCTTGATTCCTGAAAAAATTGACTGGATAGATAAATGTGAAAATTTTGACGATGCTTGTTTATATGTTTCTAATCATAGACCCGTATACTGTAAATAATTGTAGAATGTGAAAATATTTTGAATCCTGTGAGTTCTGAGAGAAAACATATTTGTTGGAAAAAGGTTGAAACCAATTATATACAAGTATATCCGTTTTTTTTAAAACATAATAATGATTGTCTGTTTGAAATGCAGCAATGTTAGTTTCCCAAAATCCTCATTCCCACAACATCTCAAACTTATTGGAATGAGCATCTCCCTAGACTCCATAAACGCATGAAGAATTTGCGTTCTGATTGGTGTAGGTAGATCTAGAATTCAAGACAATTATAGTTTTCATTCGTATAAAGCTGCAAAGCCTGAATTTTAGACAGATACATAGGTTTTACTTTTCTATATACTTTGAAGAAGCAGACAAGGAAATTAAAAGAACTGCTGAAATGGACCGGAACCATTTTTGGAAACTCATAAACCCAAAAAGAAAACGGTCAAGTTTAAGACCTGGTGCAGAAGTGAAATCTAATGGAAGAGTTTTTCGTGACCAATTATCTATACGAGAAAATTAGAAGGACAATTTAAAAATAAATATGACTTTACCAAATAGTTACAAATCAGTATTATGTTATTTTAGATGTGGCGTAGAACCTCATAGAAATTGAATCTGGGAGGCATGATGGAATATTTATAGACGGAAGAATAAGCCAATAGCATTACTTCAATTGAAAATGACAGTCATGTTTGAAATTTACACAATTGTAGTTTGCATAATGATATCCGAGATACTCTCTTTAGAAACGCTATTTTTTATGTAGCATATTTTTATGAAAATGAGTTACGCTGTTAAAATGAAACCCTTTTTAGTTTTGGTGTTTTTTGAAGAAAAATTTACATGTGTGAGTATGTTTTAGATTTACAGTTTATTTTTTCAATTCAATTGAGCTAATAATAGGAGTTTGTTGTTTCTTAAAGTATAATGTAATTGGTACAATGTAGTTACGCACTTTAGACATATTTAGAATTCTGATGGTCTTTTCTTAATACCAGTTATGTTTTTGGATTGCTGGTACTCCAATCAAAGGGAAATATGATACATGTTTATTTCATTTTTTGTCAATTTAAATTTTTCTCAGCAACGTACTTTACCCTATCAGCCTCTCTATTTTGATTCTCTTTATCTGTGCAAACACTCTTGATTTTAGCATTTAAATGTTTAGGTATATGTTAGTATTTTATTGAATATTAATTTTTAATGTCTCTTATTATTCAATTTTATAAATGGAATTGTGCTTTATTGTTTTGAGTAAATACATGTTGTTTTGTTATAAGACTAGTTATTATTCAAAATCATATAAATAAAGCATTACTAATACAACAATAGCAAACAACAAAATAAGGACAAAAGTGTTTAAAAAGACATATAATTTTATTAAAAACACTGAGGGACTCCACTGAGGTTTTTTGACATGACGGGAATGGAAATAATCTTTTGAGATTATGACTCCATTATCTATACTAACAACTTATCTGCAAAATTTCAGATCATTAGATTGCTCCGTTTTTCCAGTATAATTATTATAATAGTGAAAAATGACCCAAAATTGAAAAGCGTTTAAACGCTTTTCACTCAAATCGGCTGAGAATAGCACAAACATATGATTTTCAATGTATTTCTTCTATATTTTTGGTTATATTTTATTAATATTTATGTTTTAAGTGCTAATGTTTATCTATGTGAAAAATTTAAATTTCATGTTTTTTAGGCTTATAAACCTTAGTGGAGTTCCGTTAAATTAATATGGGCATATGTGTACTCTTATTTAAAGAAATCTATAACAAGTTATAAAAATACAAAGTAATAAAACATATACACACTTATGAAAAAAGTTACAATATCTTATGCAGTAAAAAACGACGTCTATGTAAAATGCTGCCGAAATTTTGGCACAACAGCTTATCGATGTTGAGAAAAAGCAGAACAAGAATGTTCCTGATGTAAGGCAGATATATGTAAGAAGTACAGTACAAATAATTTAATGTTTTGAAAGCGCGCCACTAAGTTATTCATTGAAATGTTAAACGAACTCTACAGTGACAACAATAATAATAATCACCAGAATAAAGATGATTGATTTAGTAAATTCAAATGGTGATTTAAAACTCATATATTATAAGCAGTTCAATATGTATTTGCTGTGTTATTATTGTACAAATTCGCCATATCACACTAATTCCTTAATGATACGGCTCATACGTTTTCCTTTTTTCAAAACCTAGAAATGAAATTCAAAGATAAGATTTAAACAACAACAACAAAAACAAACAACAACAACAACAACAAAAACCAACAACAAAAAACCAAACCAACTTTTTCGTAAATTTACATAAGACACACACTATTACCTTTGTCTGCCTTACAGTACAAAATATTTCTACGAAGTTTATCTTACGTAGATCATTCCTGGAAAGTGGGATGTTTGAAACACAAAACAGAACTTGGTCTTTTCTTGTAATTGTTTTTAAATATTAAGTATCATTCAAACGTCTAACAACTCAATGCTTTGAAATTATGCAAGGATTTATTTTTGTGAAAAGTCATAATTTTCAACAGGCATTATAATGGCATCGCTGACAACTTTGAGTATTGCAGTTTTATTAGCTCTTTGTTCAGCCGAACTCACGACAGACCAGTTGTATGATACAATTGCCGCCAAATTTGATAATGTTTACTTCGATATAAGGAAAATAAGAAGTGACGTGAAGGAAATATCCGAAAAGATCGAAATGAATGGCCAAATTGGACAAACGGACACGTGTGAAGTCCTGAAAGATAGATTAGAGAGCGTTAAAAAAGAAACAGACGCGAAATTCATAAAGTTTGAGGAAGAGATGAATGAATTGATTGACAAAATTACAAATGAATTAACTGAAAAAGGTTATAGCAGAGGCGGAATAATCTCTAATGTGGAAAGGAATTTGCAAATACTACAATCAGCTGTGAAGAATGGAAAAAAATATTCCCACGATTTGATGAGCTCATTTGAGGGCAGAATGGAAAATGTTGAACGAAAGATATTTGCATTTGAAAATGGTATGAAATATAATTTTCTAGCACATTTTAGGACCTTTACCATTTTTTTTACGGCATGGTCGTGAATTGGTAATTTGATGTTACATCATATGTTGCATAGAAAGTTTCCTACATATTATAGTTTATTAAAAGCGTGATTGTGAGCAGAATAATTGCAACTTTAATTAAGCAGGTTCGAGTCCGCTTCATTGAAATAACAAGTACAGATCTCATATGAGGAATCATGAACACTGGAACTCATATTTGTTTAGAAATTGTGTGGGAAATGATGTTACAAGATTGGTCAATCATTGAAATCCTTTCTTATTCATCAAACAGCAGGTGTCAAGTGCTGTATGTTTATATTTTTCTGTTCCTTCGGTATCATTAAGTACAGCACTTTTAAGTGTTGAGAATGAGTACTTCTCAAGACGATGCTAGGGGGCGTGAGGGATGTTGCACTTTTTGATTATCCCTCATGTATCCTTCTTGTTTTTAATGCTTCCGAGGGATCACTTCATTCCAGATATTTGCAATGAAAGACTATGGAACATTCTGTTTTTATTATTTTTTATTCATTATACCTTTATGACATACATGTACATAAATTTCACATACATTCATTTCACAATGAAAGACTATTGAACATTCTGTTTTTGTTATTTTTTATTCATTATACCTTTATGACATACATGTACATAAATTTCACATACATTCATTTCGCAATAATATAAAATCATATCATAATTTATTGTTATTTAATGTTTTCTCTAACCTAAATTTTACTTATGTCATAGCTTTTTTAAATCTTTCATAAATGAAAAAGAGTAGAAAAGTTAAAGTAAGAAAGGAGGAAAAATGTATTAGCTTTTTAACATTCTTTAATTACAGGTATTTCATTTATATGAATAAAAAGTATTTTTAATTACCGCGCGCTATGGTTAGCGTAATCTACAGACGCTTCGATGAAAAATGACTATTTTAACAATTAACAGTTCTTATTATATATATGCAATAAATATAATATTTTTTCTTGAAGATTCAAAACTAAAACGATTGAAGTCGTTGAATAAAACAATATTACCACTGTCTCTAAAAATTAGAATTCCTAAATGTTTCAATATACATTTGTGTATATGAAAAGTATGAACGTTTTGTTACAACTAATGCATCATATTGAGTGAGAAAAAGTTGAAAATAGTTGTAAAATTATAAACAAACATTATGCTTATCAATATTAAATAACATTTTACATTTTGGAAAAGTTTCATAATATGAGTGAAGGATATTTTCCTTCTTACAAATTGGTGGAAGGGATTTGGTCCAGTAATAGTAAATTAATTGTAGGGCATTTTATTACTTATTTTTATGAAAGGGCTTTAGCTTTCTGATGGTTAATTTGACTGTGGAAATTTTCCTTCTTTTGCCTCAAATTAATTTGACACTATGATATTTCCTTCTTACAAATGTGATGAAAGGGCTTGTCCATATTAAATTTTGAATATAAGATTCCACCTTCTTCTAAATTTGATAAAAACGTCTTTTTCTCCACTAATAGCTAATTTGGCTATTACAGTAGAATGTCCCCCTTACATATGTGATTAATGATAAATAATGAACATAGCATTTTATTTTCATCTTCTTAATTTTCTTTTCTATTTCTGTTAGCTCCTTTGAAAGGTGATAAAGGTGAAGTTGGTATGCCAGGGCCACGTGGTCGAGTAGGAATGATGGGCATTAAAGGGGAAAAGGTATGAATTATTTACTTTATATTTGATTGGTTCGGCAATAAGAGACTTACACGATATTAAAAAAAACTGTCTCAATGTTAAACATGTTAAAAGACTTGTTTTTATGAGATTTGTCTCGAATCTCAGGATTTCCATTGGTCAATAGACTTTCTGAGGCTGGTTGCCTGAGATTTAAGTTAAATGTTTGAAAAGTTTTTTATAACCTTAGACTTAATGATTTAGAGGTATGTGAATTCAATCATGTTGAAATAACATATAACTAATAGACAGTATTTACTTTAGAAACTTATAGAGACTTATTGAAAGTCCACATCTCTACTATTTCCAAAGATTAAAAATCTAATGATAAAAAACAATTGTTTTTTTTTTACTAATCTTTACTTTGTACGATCTTAAATCTTAGACTAACTATTAAGCAGTAATGAAATGTAATTATTTTCATATTTCATGTCTATAGGGACAAACTGGCTATAATGGCATAAATGGACAGAAGGGAAATAAGGGCACACGTATGTATTATCATGGTTTATTAACAGTTTTTCGCAGAATTTGTCTAGTTGTATTTGAAAAGTGAATAATCGATAACTTTTGATTAATTAGCTATGTCAAAACCTAAATATAAGCTATAAACTTTGCAAATATTGTTGTGAATTAATTATGAAAAGTAACAAAACAAATATTTTTATTTTTCAAAGCATCGAGTAAAGGTGAAAAGGGCGAAATTGGAATAATTGGACCGAGGGGATTTGATGGACATAAAGGGCAAAAGGGTGAAAAGGGAGAAAAGGTAAATAATATTCTACAGACTTCGTTATTTGAGTAAGAATGATACGGTTAAGTGCACACCTACCCTCATACTATGGAATCAGTAATTTAGAGCGTTAAATATTTCGCATGTAAGAGGGAGCTCGCGAGTTCTAATCCCAGTCAAGGTGGTATCTTTGCTGATGTATTTTCATCTTTATACTACGAGCTGCAATTGTTCAACAGAGGAGTATATATCCTCAGTTTATATTGTGTTCAGCACAAGTATTTTTGTAAGGAAAATAAATCTGAAAATCATATATTGCCTCTTGGTATTTAATGACCATCAACTATATAAGACTATTGATTCGTACATTCGTTTGTTCATTATTGTAGGGTCCATTGGATTTTAAAGCTATCCAGGAAATGAAAGGACAGGAAGGATCTACGGAATCACGTAAGACTTTAAAATAATTGTGAACAAAGTCGAATATGCAGAAAACTTAAGTCTTGTCTTTTCAAATATCCTAAATTAGGGGTGTCATCGATTCAATCGATATCGGTGTATCAACGATCTTTGTTATCCGATTCAATATTGATTCCATTTTTTAAATATCGGATATCGAATGCATATATATTTCTAGCTAAAGAGACTTCAGCGAACAGGTTTTATAAAACTGATAGACCTGCTTACTGTCCGAAACGTCAAAATAAAAGCGACATATAAAGTTATGGAAGCCAGAAACATTTTTTTTCTAAAATGAAAACGGCAATCAATGCCAAAGTTACCTCCCAGTGTCTCTAACGAATGCTGCCTAATTTCGTTTTAATCTCGCACGTCTGCTAATTGGATGGCAAGACCCCTCAATTCAGATTTTAAAAAGGGAAAATGCCAAGAAAAATTTGTCAGTGTTTTTTTTGTAAAAATTATGATTACAAAATGTTAAACTTTGATAATAAATCAGGTTCTTAACACTATAATTTGCCAATTAAACCCGGCTTAAATGGAATGGCAAGGATGGGATTTAGCATGATCAGTAACTACGTAATAGCAACAACAACAACTAAGTAAATTTAACTTTATAGTTACTAAGTTACGTTAGTAATTAGTTTTCATTTATAGCTATATGATAAAAAAAGAAACAAATTGTTCAGTTTTTATAGTTTACCTTTTTTGCATTTGTCTAAATACAACTGCTTTGTCAGTGTCCTTAGGAAACATTTAAAAAGACTTGAAAGCTAAATTTTAGCCTGGCAATCGATATATCGCTGTATCGCCGATAATTCATTACCGATATATCGATACAAAAGTCCTTATCGATGACACCTCTATCCTAAATATATGTTTTCACGTTATTTAAGGTCATTACTGATAAGAATATCTATGACGATTTAAAAATATTCACATATGAAAATAAAACCTCATTTTAGTATCAAAAATGAATATATTTTTCATACGTTTATGAAAATTCAATTATGGAAATAAAACATGTTATATGCTTTTTACATGAGAAAAGAAGTGTGAATTTTGGAAAAAAGTCATAAAAGTAGTATGCCAATTAGAACATGTAGTTAGTTTTTTGTACATCTTAAGTGTCCAAATAATAAGCTTGCTAATTAAAGCTCTGAAATAATGAAAAAGCAAACTAATGGCCAGACTTGAGAAGTTGACGAGTTATGTTTAATACCTGTTAGTACATGCATTGTTTTAAAAGAAGCATCATTTACATATGTTAAATATGACGCCATTCGTCTGTCATCTTAGCACAGCATATGGGCATCTACATTTAAAATATTAGAAGCAATGAGAACATAAAACAATAAAAACAGAAGTTAAACGTAGATTCACATCTTAGGTGTGCATTATATTATACAATATTTCTGTACATTTTAGGTTACGCTGTTTATTTCGCAGTGACCTTCAAGCCTCACAAACAGACACGTTTACAGTTGTCGTCAAATAAAATCTTACATTTTGACAATATATTGCAAAACACAGGAAGCGGTTACAGCACAGCAAATGGAAAATTTACAGCACCATACAGTGGCGTGTACCTATTCATATTTTTTGTTGAAACAAATGGCAATAAATACAATCATGCATGTGTAAAACTTTACGTTAATGGACATTATTATGTTTATGCAATAGCAGAAGCAAGTTATGATTACAACGATGTAAGTGGTGGAAATGCTTTCGTCAGTTATATGGTAGCAGGCGCCGAGGCCTGGCTGCAGACATGTTCGTCAGCCACGCATTATATTTGCAGATACGGTAGCACATTTACAGGCATTTTGCTTTATTAGATTGCCTACTTTAGCTACATAAACTGGAAATGTTTATGAATCACCATAATGTATATTGCAAATGTGCAATCAATAGTTATTTCAATTTGCGACTGATTTGTTAAATTTTCAGTTGATAACTAGAAGCAACAGGAATACAATGACGCTTTATTTTTTGTTATTACTGATTTGTTCTTCTTGTTTGCTGTCTTTTTTATCTGAATACGTTTCCTGATATATCAGACTTTTGTTTTCAGTCAATTAACTATAGCATTTTCTTTGCTTAACATATTTATAACGACACATTTTCATATTAAGGTAGACCATGGGTAATGCATTACCTCCACTTTGAGTATTCAAATAGGCTAGAATTGCTTGTAAATGTCACAATAGGGACTACGCTGGGATACCAGGCCGACCACAATTGCTATCTCAAACAACCAACAACTCAGTACGGAAAAATATATACAAATTTATTTACAGAAATGAATATTTATAAATGAAAAATGATTGTATATGATAAACTACTATGATAAGTCACTGCACAAACAAACACTATCAACGTATCTCAGTCTATTTCTCCCGTAAAGTTTCTGTCATGATGTATCAATAAAGTGGTGGCGTTGTTAAACAAAATTCGTCACAATGGCGGGCGTCTTGTATAAAATCTTATCAAGTGTAACTGTACTTCCTACAGTGTTGGCACAGTTGATAGGATCCTGAACAAGGGCATGCGTCACCCTTTAGCCATGGACATACGTGTGGAGGGCCCGTGTCATCTTCGGGTGTGTCCTCAAATAAGAAAGCTACAAAGTATAAAAACATGATAAGTTCCATGATAATCAAACATAAGGGTATAATAAAGTCCCTTGGAAAAGACTCGACCTTTGTCGGTTTCCAATAAAATAACGTGCTTCTTTGAATAAACAAAATGTCCACTATAGTACACCATACATTCCGTGGAACAAAAATTCAATCACATCCGCATAATACTGCGTTGCAAATATAGTCAAAAATACGCCCACATAATAACCACCAATAAATAAACGTCTTCCAAAATCATGCCACTGAAGATCCTTCTCTAGAGATACGTTAGTTTTGATACGTTGTATTTACTTATAACAAAAAACTGATGATAAATGAAATGAAGTAAGATGATAACGTAAATTAAATTGATTGAAACAAATCATTACGATACTGCAGCATTTTACATAAAGTTACACAAATACGGTAGAACCATAATAAAATTATTTATGAATAGATATTATATATATATCTATAAAATATTCATGGCTCCTATACAATTACAATATAATTAAAACTTCAATTAACATACATCAATTAACATGTCTCGGTATAAATTTGCAATAGCGAAACACTAGAATAAAAAGAGCTTTTAAAATTTAATCTGCAAAAATTTAGAAAAACAATAAATTACTGCCAAATAACTAAACCTGAATCAAATAAACTATAATTCTAATAGAAAATAGTATTTTACGAAATAGCAAAAATTTATGAAACAAAATCACTAGAAAATTAAATTTACCTTGTACAAGCTGTAATTTTATGACAAATATAATTTGTCTGTCACCGTCATAGTGACCTGTATAACGTCCAGTGCATTGCAATATGTCACTTAAAATTTAGTCAATATATAGCAACTACTTAGTACTGAGCGGGAAAACAGATCGTGCAAAACATGAAAAAATCGATTTGCACGAAATAAAGCTGGGACGGCGGGAAGAAAAGTTATGTGAAATAAAGGCCCGTCCTTCAAAATACAGACATAATACATATATCTGGTTCATAAAACAAAAATGTAACTTTCTTATTACTGAAAGGATTTTTGTGAAATAAACGGCAAAATGTTTAAATTGATACATGGAAATTTATGCAAACCATAAAAATACTCTAAATAATAATTTCACCCGAAAACTCTAAATTGAACAAAAGATGATGCAATCTCACATCAATGAATATAGAGTAAAAATGAGGTTCGGCGTGAAAATATAATGCAATATTTACAAATGTACTTTCACTTTGTGACATTTACGCCCCCCTTTAAATAAGAAAATTGATAAATTTTCTTTAAATACAACAAAGTGAAAACGACAAATTGCAAAAAAGGGGGTAAAAGGGCGGGCGGCAGGAGGGGGCAACGACTCCGAAAAAAGTTTTAAACCCTTTTTTTTCTTGGGGGTTTTTTTTTTTTTTTTTTTTTTAAAAAAAAAAAAACCCCCTCCACCCCCCCCCCCCCCCCCCCCCCCCCCCCCCCCCCCCCCCCCCCCCCCCCCCCCCCCCCCCCCCCCCCCCCCCCCCCCCCCCCCCCCCCCCCCCCCCCCCCCCCCCCCCCCCCCCCCCCCCCCCCCCCCCCCCCCCCCCCCCCGAAGAAAAAAAATACAAAAAAACCCCCCCCCCCCCCCCCCCCCCCCCCCCCCCCCCCCCCCCCCCCCCCCCCCCCCCCCCAGAAAAATGACTTTTTTTAAATTCATTCGATATAACACCCCCCCCCCCCCCCCCCCCCCCCCCCCCCCCCCCCCCCCCCCCCCCCCCCCCCCCCCGCCCCCCCCCCCCCCCGCCCCCCCCCCCGCCCCCCCGCCCGCCCCCAACAAAAACCCCCCCCCCCCCCCCCCCCCCCCCCCCCCCCCCCACCCCCCCCCCCCCCCCCCCCCCCCCCCCCCCCCCCCCTAACCCCAAAAAACCCCCCCCGGCGCTCGATATTTTTCTCAACACAACCCAAACATACTACACTACACTCTACATTATACCCTGCCTTAAATAACTGCCACCTATGTTTCTCTACCTGGATTGCCTCTAATCCTCATCCTGTTTAATGGCTGCCAAAAGCCAAAGACCATCTCATTATTCAGATTTACTTAACTCTTGCCTTGTTAAGATACAAAGCGGCTGGTGATCTGCTCTCTAGAATAAATTCCTCTCTCTCTCTCTCCTCTTAGAAATTGCTCCAAACAATACCAGAGGCACTCCTTCTCATATTACAGAATACTTCTGTTCTCTTGGTAACATCTTTCTACTGGGCATAAGCCTACTGGAAATTCTCCTCAGCCTTGTTCTTGAAGTTAATAAGATTCCTTTAAACCACAATTCAGAAAGACATCAACTCTTGAGATAAATATCTTGTGCTAAATCTGTAATTTCAAAATGGGCGGACCGGTCAAACTAGCCTTAAGAGTCGAAAAGCCTTTTCCTGACTTCACCCCATTCATACGATTATTGGTTGAAACTTTTTGTCAAATTCGGTCAACGTTAACAGCAATTGGCGGCAAAGTTAGGGATGAACTTCCCGGTACCAAGACACAACCCCAAAAATTGCCGGACTCCTCGCCTTAGTCCGTGGGTCTCTCGGTCTCCTGAATTGCTTGACCTTACTGAGAACAGGTTCAATGGACTTACTACACTCTATTCATGATTGACTAACATTCCAATTTTCAAAACATATGCAAACACTTGGACGGTCTACAGTAAGCCATAGACTTCTTAATTGCCCGGTTAAATAACTCATACAATGCATTGATATGCTCTGGCAAGTGTGATCTGTATTAGACCAAAATATCATCTATAAAACTATCTGATTTTGATCTAGTTCTTTCTAAAAACCTTTCTCATCAGTCTACACAATGTTGCCAGGGGCATTGACTAACCAAAGGGCATTTTCCGCGAATTGAAAAAGTTCCCGACGGGGTTTCAAATGCTTCAAAGGTTTTGCCATTTGTCAGACAAAGCGAACTTGCCAGTATTCCTTACTAAGGTCAATTTTCGCAAAAAATACCTGTATTTTGATAATTTTCGAAAATTCTGTTCCATATTGGGCATCAGCGTTCCGCCATCAAATACCGTGCATTTAATTGATCTGTCTAAAATCCAATACAGACACCTAATCGTGTTATCCTTTTCCTTTGATAAGGACAATTGGACTAGAAAACGGAGCATTAGAGGTTCGATAACTCCCAAACTCTAGCATTTTATCAACTTGCTTCCTTTACTATCTGCTGCTGAGTTGAAAAGGAATAGAGATAACCCTAGTCCTTACCGGTTCTGACGTAGTCAACTTAATGTCATGCCCTGAACTAGAGTGACGTATTTTTCCGGTATATCTTTTAAATATCTAAGATATTTTGTAACTATATGTTATTCCTAATATTGTATACAATGGTTTCAATCTGAGTTCTTACAATCTTGTTTGATAAGGTCACGGATTTAACCTGGACATCGTTTTATCTCTCTAGGTCTGAAACCGTGTTCTATCAATGGGACGATAACAATATGTCACATACATCATATCTTGTTGTCAAGCTTAGTTGCATCTAAACTATCATCTTCGCTCGTCTAATCTAGTGCATATCCATTTGCCAGCATATTTACAATAGCTGCACTGTACCTGTTAGTGCAAAATGCACCTCGTTCTATAGTTCGAAATACTTAGGCAGTTTCAGAACGATACTTCTCTATACAGCCCGATTTAGTATGGCTTTTGGAAAGTTATTCGTTTTCTTATGTGTTACTAACTAGTAGGAGCGATCGCTCAGATCGCCTACAGGAGAACATTGAATTAGCGTTTTAGAAGTTCTCAAAGGCACACGGAGAGAATCTTACAGTAGGTAGAAAGAAGTCTCCTAAAAGTCGAGGAACGACTAGTCCAGATTAAGTAACAACTAAGCTAAATTGTGACGATATATGTAGTAGGATATAAAACAAATGCCAGATTTTCTAAGGAGAATTAGGAAATACGTTGTATAGGCTAGTATGCGAACCATTCTTAGAAAGAAAGGTTTCATACTGCTATCATTGATAGCTGTGCTTCAGTGTGCTTGCTAATGGTGAAGGAATTTACATTTTACTTATTTGCTTACGTATCCACGTTTTAAGATAACTGCTGAAAGGCTTACTCTAAGGACTCAGCTCGAGATAGCGCTGCCTTAATGGAGTTAGATTACTAGAATATAGATCAGAACGTAATCTATATAGCTCTAGTTTAGTTTTCTTGCTGATTAGATTAAAGAAAGAGTGTCAACTGTAGCTATACTGAGTGGTATTGATGTACTATAACTTCGTAACTAGTTTCCTACTGTTTTTTGTGCGAAAAAGATGATCTCTGTATACGCGCTTGCAGTTTAATTTGCATACATTGTTATCTCATTAAGAAAATAGCGTTAATGCGTATTGCTCTCGAGCGACACTGTGGTGACATCTAATTACGTGAAACTCGTGGGCTCCACCTAAACTTAACCTTTTCATAGTATAAATAAGGTTTACCAAATTGGGCGATAGGGAAAGGTCTTATTTTGAATACTCTGCGTTTCTGTCGCCAAATCTTCCTCAGATAGACTGTCCAAAACGGCAATTCATATGAGCAATTTCAAGATATGCGTAATAATACGACTCGCAATTTCTTGTATTAAAGTGTCGCTCTTCGTATGGGAGTTGACTTCGATTGAACACATCTGCGGTTTATTTCAACAAATTGAAGCTAAGGTGCTCTATGGTACTGATAAGGCCCCCTGTTAGACACATATAGAATGTACTCCTTTCTCTAGCTTTTAAGTCTCCTAGCTTTACACATAGATGTGTCTAGACTGAGATGATTAGTTAGTTAACTGTGTTGCTAGAGACGTAACAAGTGCCAATTGAGAGCTCTAAACTGAAGGCACGTAACGATTCTCATAATTCTTAATGGGACTGAACAAGATTAGTTAATTGTTAGTATCCCATCAATCTCATTATAAAGGCAATCTTACTTCTTCTGGAAGAACTAATTCCTTTAAGCAATAGAGAAATCTACTTAATCTCATCAAAGTAACTGCTTTCTAGTATTTTAAAAGAGTAGATTCGTTTTTTCAGGCGTACCTCCGTTTCAAAGTCTTCAGCCTGAGTACTGGAGGTCAATCGAGCAATATTTTGCTTTTTCAGCGCGAATAATGACTTAGAGGAGGTCCGAAGTATGTACGTGATCATGGTAGACTTCTTAAAGAAGAGCTAACCTTATTGCAACTGCCGAGTAGACGCGTGTTCAGCATATAGCAGAATATCTCCATAGAGCCTAATGTTAGTGACTCATAAATTTCATGCTACTGCCGAGAAGTTCTTCCGGTTAACTCAGTCAATAGACGTTAGTTATCAGATCTGGAGCGCATACGAGCATATTTCAACTCAGCCGCAAAACGTATTCGTATAGAAAGTAAGAGTATCAATCAAAGCATCTTACCTAAAAGTTAACATGACTCTATTCTACCTTTAGACTATTAATAGTGAGCTCGCTGTTGTGTAACAAAGGGTACTTCACACAAGACAGTGTTACTTTCTCATGGTCAATATAGACAGTTCTAACTAAGGTCTAGCCATTAAGCAAAAATCAACAGTTAACGCAGTTGGTGACAGCACACATAAGATAGAGCGAAACTCCCTTTCCAAATGACTCTTACTACACTATGTTATACGTATCCTTAATAATACCATCGAGTGTCATGCTCCGAAAAGAGCGGACGCTGCGATGTAGTGATAGAGTTGCTGACTTGTTAGTGAAACGACTCAAGTCTGGCCGTAGAATCGCTTGCGAAGGAGACATACTTAACTGTCCTCACGTTACGCCTCCACCGATTATTTCCTGCCCGATATAAATTCTTAGAAGCCCGAAAGATACCATGTACTTTAGTATTGCGTAGCTGAACCTGATTTAGACTATTACTTTGCACTTGTGCCCGTTGTACCTACTTTTTAACTATTGTGAATCATAAACTGATGAGTTAGCGGTCCTAGCTGCCTATTTCTCTATATCTAATTCAACCCATGTGCTCCAGACATAGCTAAAGCCTATCTGTCCTGCTGCTTCTTTAACAAAGCTCTAACAGCTTTAAGTTGAGTTGTTCGCTAATAAAGTGTCTGGAACTTAAGATAGAACTGGCTTATTATACGATTTGCTATATCTCATTTATAACGAACATATGTAGCTCATTTTCGTAATCGTCAATGTATTCAAATTTTCGTATTATTGCTGAGAGTAGATCTCTCTACCAACGAAATATTTTGGTAATACGTACACATGATAGGACACCCTGCTTGATATTAACAAAAGAAATGCGAGCTTTTGTGACGTATACTACAATATTTGCGGTCCTAACAATTGATTTGCATTTACCAAATTCCTTCGTACTATTTGACACATGTACACTCCAGTATAGTTCTCATTTTTGCGTACTATTAACTATAGCTTTGCAACTATAGCTTTAACCATTACATATACCTCTAGTTGTCGGACATGAATTTATAGTAAACTGTACCCACGTCTTCAAAATCCCCAAGTTCTATCAAACTACTACCACTATCTGATCTCGGCATCGAAATTTTTCGAATCTGCATCTCTATTTCTTCCTCTACCTCTACTCCTACCTCTATAAACCTCCTCGCCTTCTTATTACCCCTGATAACTATTATCATTCTTACCTTGGATTCATTGAGTTCGGTTCTATGTCTTCCACTGCGTTAGCTTTATTTGTAGCCTTATTTCTACAGAAAAATGCTGTATGCCCTAAACGACCACAATATGTGCATTTATAACCTTCATACTGCTGAGATGCTCTACCTCTATTTACTAGTCTATCGTTACCTCTTTGCATACGATAACTACTACCTTGATTTCTATCTACAGGTCTACTCGGCAGTGCATAAGGCTTAGCTCTTTCTTTAATTCCATGATTCACTACATACTTCGGACCTCCTCTAGTCTTGGCAAACAAATCTGCATCTTCCGCTACTTCACTGGCTGAAAACAACTTCTTACTACTAAGGTTCTGATATAGTTCTCTATTGCAGATATCTAAAAATTGATCCCTTACTATGAAGTCTAACAACTTTTCATAAGTCTTCTCCACCTTACTCAATCTTAGCCAACCATCTAAGTATCTAGAAATTCTAGCTAGGAACATAACAAAAAGTCTCATTTTTCACGGGGCCTTTCAGTCCTAAACTTCTTCTTATACCCATCATCAGTCAACTCAAACTGCCTTAACAAAGCATCTTTCAGCTTATCATAATCCGTCCTATCTTCTAATGGAAGCCTATCAAATACCTCCCTAGCAGTACCTTTTAACAGAAACGGTAAGTTTAGTGACCACATTTCATGTTCCCAATTCTGAGCAGACGCAAAAGTTTCATAAACATTCAAATACGCATCCATAGAATCAATCTTTTCGTCAAATGGAGTCATCTTAACCTTAACCTTACCTACACTCTTCTTACCTAACATATCTAACTCTATCTTCATCTTATGTTCTGTATCTAACTTCCTAGTTTCTGCTTCCTCCTTCTCTCTTTCTAACTGACGACCATAATCTAACTTCTCCTTTGCAACCCTAGCCTCATTACTTAACTTCTCTTTTTCCATTCCTATCTCTATTTCTAACTTCTCCCTAGAAATCTTAAACTCATAATCTAACTTCTCTTTTGCTAACCTAGCTTCTAATTCTAACCTATCCTTCTCAGCTTCTAAACGTTCCTTCTCAGCTTCTAACTTCTCTTTTGCTAACCTAGCTTCTAATTCTAACCTATCCTTCTCAGCTTCTAAACGTTCCTTCTCAGCTTCAAAACGTTCCTTCTCAGCTTCTAACCTACTATGTCTTTCTTCACGCTCCCTTGCTTGCTCCTCTTTAACAAAGTTTCTCAAAGCCTCATCTGTATACCCTAACTCCTGACCTACCTTCATCAACTCATTTACACTAGTCATCTTGACTTATTATGTATATTTCCTACACTGTAACACTACTACAACAACAATTTAGGATACAAGTAAAATCTTTACCGTGAGGTAGAACAATGATATCAAAGTATCATTAAAGGGTAACACTACAACCCTTAAATCACAAAACGCTATATTCACTAAGTGCAATCACGGTGCACTATAACACTACACTTCAGTGTAACACCATATAATTAAACGCATTTATCACTCTAGCGCTATAATCAAAATGTACCTTCACTGTACACAGTACTAAAATAAACAATGTATCATTTATTCTAAACACTATACCTCACCACTACAAACACTAAGTTTCAAACTCATCTAAGTATCTCACTAAGGTTGTATAATAATAATCTTAAGTGTACAGTAGACAGTAGGCAATATTTAAAACTGTTCAAAATACTTTAAACTTCAAAGTCCAAACTACGACCAAAAACTCAATGTCGCGTAGCACTTACCCCACAGTGCAAAAATATAAAGGCATATGGCCAGTTTCAATATACTACAGACACAAAGTAAACACAAAGTAAAATTGTAAATGACACAATAAATTAAATGTTCACCTAGATAACAGACACAGTTTCTTTATCTAGAAAAAGTACACAAGGCGGGTAGTACCTTACATTGCAGAGTATATGTGTGTATATATGTACTTCCGGTGTTTTACCGAAAGGTCACTTTCAGATTACAAAACTGGTGGTCTCATCATAAAGTGACACCTAAAAGGAGGAAAATGGAACGAACTCACCCTAAACGTCCAAACGTCCACAGTCGGGTCTGTGTGGCTGTTATAACCTCTCAGCTGGATAGCTGTCACACACACAAGTCCGTTTCATTTGTCACGGTATCAATCTGAAAATGTTAAGAAATTATAATCACACGAAATATAAAAAAAAAAATAATTAAAAGTGATACAAAATTTAACTACCTTTAAGTAAACTAAATTTAACTTTTAATTGTAAATAAAACTTTTTACTTAAAATAAAAACCAAAGTTTCTAGTGTTAGCTATATAACCTAGCTGCAGTAAAATGAGTGTGGTTTGTTTCAGATAACAACTATAGTCAACCGGTATCCAATCACGTCGAGGTCACCAAATGTCACAATAGGGACTACGATGGGATACCAGGCCGACCACAATTGCTATCTCAAACAACCAACAACTCAGTACGGAAAAATATATACAAATTTATTTACAGAAATGAATATTTATAAATGAAAAATGATTGTATATGATAAACTACTATGATAAGTCACTGCACAAACAAACACTATCAACGTATCTCAGTCTATTTCTCCCGTAAAGTTTCTGTCATGATGTATCAATAAAGTGGTGGCGTTGTTGAACAAAATTCGTCACAATGGCGGGCGTCTTGTATAAAATCTTATCAAGTGTAACTGTACTTCCTACAGTGTTGGCACAGTTGATAGGATCCTGAACAAGGGCATGCGTCACCCTTTAGCCATGGACATACGTGTGGAGGGCCCGTGTCATCTTCGGGTGTGTCCTCAAATAAGAAGCTACAAAGTATAAAACATGATAAGTTCCATGATAATCAAACATAAGGGTATAATAAAGTCCCTTGGAAAAGACTCGACCTTTGTCGGTTTCCAATAAAATAACGTGCTTCTTTGAATAAACAAAATGTCCACTATAGTACACCATACATTCCGTGGAACAAAAATTCAATCACATCCGCATAATACTGCGTTGCAAATATAGTCAAAAATACGCCACATAATAACCACCAATAAATAAACGTCTTCCAAAATCATGCCACTGAAGATCCTTCTCTAGAGATACGTTAGTTTTGATACGTTGTATTTACTTATAACAAAAAAACTGATGATAAATGAAATGAAGTAAGATGATAACGTAAATTAAATTGATTGAAACAAATCATTACGATACTGCAGCATTTTACATAAAGTTACACAAATACGGTATTACCATAATAAATTATTTATGAATAGATATATATATATCTATAAAATATTCATGGCTCCTATACAATTACAATATAATTAAAACTTCAATTAACATACATCAATTAACATGTCTCGGTATAAATTTGCAATAGCGAAACACTAGAATAAAAAGAGCTTTTAAAATTTAATCTGCAAAAATTTAGAAAACAATAAATTACTGCCAAATAACTAAACCTGAATCAAATAAACTATAATTCTAATAGAAAATAGTATTTTACGAAATAGCAAAAATTTATGAAACAAAATCACTAGAAAATTAAATTTACCTTGTACAAGCTGTAATTTTATGACAAATATAATTTGTCTGTCACCGTCATAGTGACCTGTATAACGTCCAGTGCATTGCAATATGTCACTTAAAATTCAGTCAATATATAGCAAACTACTTAGTACTGAGCGGGAAAACAGATCGTGCAAAACATGAAAAATCGATTTGCACGAAATAAAGCTGGGACGGCGGGAAAAATAGTTATGTGAAATAAAGGCCCGTCCTTCAAATACAGACATAATACATATATCTGGTTCATAAAACAAAAATGTAACTTTCTTATTACTGAAAGGATTTTTGTGAAATAAACGGCAAAATGTTTAAATTGATACATGGAAATTTATGCAAACCATAAAAATACTCTAAATAATAATTTCACCCGAAAACTCTAAATTGAACAAAAGATGATGCAATCTCACATCAATGAATATAGAGTAAAAATGAGGTTCGGCGTGAAAATATAATGCAATATTTTACAAATGTACTTTCACTTTGTGACAGTAAACTACATTGAAATTGGGTTCAAACCCCGGAAGGGGCAACTTTTTTTTCTTTCTTTTTTTCTTTTAAACATTATTTATGTATCTCTCTGATCCCTTATGGTAGAAAAAAAAAGTTTGATTTAAATTATATAATTATTTTAGGTATTTTTTTTTGCTTAATTCTGCCAAATTTATAGCAAATATGATACCAGATATTTTCAAAGTTCGATAAAATTAAAACTGCACGGTAAAAGTATTTTATATTTCGCATGATCAACTAATATACCTTTGAAAAAATTTAGACAAACTTTGAAAACAGACCCTTATTTCGATAAATTTTAGGGATATTTTGAATAAGGCATTTTAGATAGGGAAATGGTAAAATTAGTGTTAAAAGCGGGTGGGGTAGGGTAACATTTTTATACATATTAAGAACATTTTGTTTAGAAACAAACATTTTGCTTGTGTAATGTGTTATCTGAATGTTATTATTTGTTTCTTAACAATGAGCAATAGAAAAACATTTTTTATCATGATGATATTACAGATTATTTACAGTTTCCTTATTTCTGAAAATAAGCCCTTCTTATGGCAAAGTCTTAGTTCAGAAATATATCCATAACTCATAAACCACACGGTAAATTTTATTTAAAGTTTGCATACAGGTGACCTTGAAGACATATAACTGTCCTATATTGTCAATTTTACAGTTCCTTATGGTGCCCATTACCCATGGTCTACCTTAATGTTAATCATTAATGTTAGTATAGTCATTTGTTCAAAGTTCAGATTATCATAATCCTACATATGCTTCAACATATTATAACAAGAAAGATATTCTTACAAGGACATGTAGTTATTATGAAAATTTATATAAAAATGTTGATATAACTGAAGAATCTAAAATTGTTATGGAATTAGAAAATTGTAAAGTTACCTAGTTGTCTCAAAATGAAGCATTGGATCTTGAAGGTCTACTTTCATGTGATGAAGTTTCTTTTACATTAAAAAGTATGAGCAATGATAAAAGCCAAGGTTGTGACGGATTTACAGCAAAATTTTTTAAGAATATGTTGGAATAGAATAGGACATTTTGTTGTGAAAGCTATAAATTTTGCTTATACTGTAGGACCAATAACATGCATTCCAAAAGACAAAAAATAGACTTAAATTTGTTTTAGATATTTTAGTTTCAAAAGACCCGACAGGATTTGTTAAAAATAGATATATTGGTGAGAATCTTCGATTATTGTATGATATTATTAAATATGCTGAGGATAATGATATACCAGGTTTAGTAATGATGATAGATTTTGAAAAAGCGTTTGATACTTTATCTTTTACATTTAAAGAGAAATGTTTATAACTTTTTCACGTTGGTCCTATGTTTAAAAAATGGATATCTTTATTTTTATATAATACTGAAACTTGTGTTATTTTAAATGGAGTTTTATCAAACTTTTTCAAAGTTAAACGAGGTTGAAGACAAGGCGATCCTATTTCACCTTATATTTTCATTTTATGTGCAGAGATTTTAGCAACAAAAATAAGAAAATGTAAAGATGTTAAAGGTATAAATATAGATGGGGGGATATAAAATTACACAATTTGCTGATGATACTTTACTTTTGCTAGATGGATCAGAAAAGTCCTTTTATACTATTTGAAAGATATTAAAATATGATAAACAAGATCGACAAGGAAAGGCGGCATTCAATGAACGCAGCCCCCACCCGACCCAGCAACAAGCGCCAGCGGCAAGAAGCCCAGGAGGACCCCAAAGAAAAACAGGACAGGGCGCAATGCAGAGCACGGGCAGGCAAACCACCACATCAGAATACATAATAAGTAACTTATAAGGAAATAAAACAAAACAAATAAATGATTTAATATAAGGCCCACAATGTCAAAAGGCACAGGGGAAGGGGACATGAGACACGGGGAAGGGGGGGGGGGGGAATAAAATTAATATAAAATAGATAAATAAAGAATCCCTAAAGAAAGCCCAACACGGCAAAATTGAAAATGTTGCAGGCTCGGTTTGATTGAGCCTGTTCATGGACGGTACTGGAAAGTGCAAATTACCGTCCACGCCCCCTAGCACCGGCTTAAGCAGAATTCAACATTTAAACATGAAATGGTAGAATTTTGAATCTAGAAACATCCGCAGATGTGTTCATACGGCGGTTATCATGGAACCTTCAATGTGACACTTCCGTGCCATTCCATGAAAAGCGGCGTATGGTCCCCAAGTAATAAAAAGCGTGTGCCCTAAACGAGAAAACAATGGGCGGAACTAAATGCAATAGAATTTTGAAAGGGGATCAGAGGTTATGAAGCCTGCGTATCACAGATAAGAAGTCAAAAGACAAATTTAAAAAGCAGGCAACATATCCTAAGGGTGATTCAACATTATTCAAGTAGGAATATTGGAACCACCCAACTAGAAAATGCCGAAAAGTTGAAACTAAAAGTACCACAAGCACAACAATAATGTCGTGCTGAACGATCTACAAGGATCGAAAATATAACATCATTGATTAAATGTACGGGGAGACTTTTTACAGCCGCCACACGGCACAAATAACAAACCAGGGACAAAGGGAAGATACTTACCGTAGACGAGAAACAACAAGAGACAAGAGCAAAAGTGTCACCAAAACAGTATAAAACAACATAGACATACATCTGAGGAACACAGAGGGGCGCCGCCTTGGAACGGTCAGCAGCATAATAATGACTACTGGGGAGTTTAAACCGGTTAATGGTGCACCAAACCTCGCTCTTAGCCCCACCATGTTCCTATAAACGAGACAGTGTAAATAAAATGAATCCCCGCCAAGTGAAATTCTAACAGTTGTTATGGTTACAAAAGGTTAAATAAGTAAAACACCAAAATGATCATGTAGAAACATATAAAAGTAAACCCAATGACCATAACAAAAGTAATCGATGTCTTAAAGGAAGACAGAGCAACAAGAAATTCACCTACAAGGGCCCGACGAAGCAAGACAGAAGACAAACATTAAGGCAATTCAGTCCCAAAGGGCTTTAAGAACTGTCCATCATATAGTCTCCCACTTGGCCCGTCAGATGTAATCAAAAGAGGAAAGCGTAGTGTCCAACTGTAAATGTAAATACGTTTTCAGAAATTTCAGGATTAAAAGTACATTTTGATAAAACTAAAGTTATTTGGATAGGCTCTCTTAAATATAGTACAAGATCTAATAAGACAAAATGAAAATTAACATGGGGTGATACACAGTTTAATTTGTTAGGTTTGATATTTGATGTTGATTTAGAAAAAAAACGTAGAGTTAAATATTAATGAAAAACTTCAGAAAGTTAAAAATAGTATACAGGTATAGTATACTGGAAAAAAGAATGTTAACACCAATAGGAAAAAATACTGTTGTTAAGTCATTACTCATTCCTTTATTCGCTCATGGTTTTACAAGTTTACCAACACCTAATTCAGCATTTTTGAAAATACTTAATGACTTATTTTATAAATTTATATGGGAAGGTAAAGCAAAGATAAAGCAATCAGGAGTTATTAAAGTGGTCCAACTTAATGTATTTAGTAATATTATTTAGTAAATTCAAGTGATTTGACCCGTACTCAGCTGACAAACATGTATTAGTCTATGTTTACGTACCGAATCGTTGTGCCGCAATTCTGTCTACCAAGGATTTTTAGCACGAATTCGCTCGTTTCCCGATAGATATTTCATGAACGGGAAGGGCTAGAGACTTGGAGTCGGTCTCATTTGGAAGCTTAATACAAACGTGAAATAGTGATAAAAGTCTTTTTTAATTGTCTGGCCAATTGTTTTCACAACGGCTCGGGAAATGAATCCCTTGCTCGTAGGCTCGAATCTGGAGTTTCCGGCCTTCTCTTAACTTATAGTATATTTTAAAGGGGGTCATTTTTTACATTTCTTTTTTGGTTTTTTGACACTTTTAAGATAAACACAGGTTTTATTATCAATCTGGTCATATATTTTCATCCCAGGTCCGATACTCGTGCCTGTGTGTGTTATCAGTATTTTATTGCTAACCTAAACACATGTTGAAGATAATAGATGTAAACAGCTGGAAGCTGAATTCTGTACCATACTTCTCCTAAAATTAGCTATTGAAATAAAAAAAAGCAATACGTTTTATTCACCTTGTATTTAAAAGTAAAAAAATCTGGATGACTGTCTAGTAACTGGTTAATTTTACAGACAGCCTTATCAAATCAAAATAATATGTTGTTTAGATATGACACCACACCCTCATCTTATACACTTCAAAGGATTTTCAGTATTATAACACATGATGTTGTCTACGGCAATGTAAAAATACATTTCAAGCTAAATAAAGAACGTAAACCTTATATTATGTTATCAACTATTTTAATTAAATACAGTATGAAATACTTAGTATATAACGAATTACAACCATTTAATTGCAAATATCAGTCAAATCTAAGACGAAGCTGAGGTATTATTAGCCTATTGCACTTGTCCAGTTGGTCCGACTTGATTATATGGTCATATTGTTGGAAGCCTGTACAAGCTGATATATAACAAATTATAAGGATACACGGCACTTCTAGAAGATTATGCCTGGACTAACCAACCCCATACATTCCATGTACTTAGGGGACTGAACATTTGCGGAAAACCTATGCAGGACCTTGCAGTCGGAGGGTATTAGGAAAGGCAGCATCGACTTTCAGCACTTCTTTAACATTCCAAGACATATCCACTCAACAGTTTATAATGCGATAAGAGGACAAATTATGTAATTAACACGCTTACATATTCCCTGTAGCTGTACCATATATGTAACAAAGCACAATGTTAAAAACAAGGTAATTCGATAATTTCTTTTTGATTATTTATTTTCATGTAAGATGCAAAAGACTAAACAAATGGTCCTTTAAAATATGCTTAAAACATTTCGTCAGCTTGCAACATCCCTTTCTTTTTACCAGTCAAACTGATTGTTTTGCTTGCTTCATAAT